AGTGCCGGGAAGGGAACAGGGTCTGGGGGGAGTGCCGGGAAGGGAACAGGGTCTGGGGGGAGTGCCGGGAAGACAGGTCAGGTTATTTACAGAGCAGGATGTTGCACCCCACCCTTGAGGATTTCACCCAGGGTGTTGTAACAGCCGTTAGGGGAAGCGGAGCCAGAGGCCCCGGGGCGTGGTGCCCCTGGGTCCTAACGGAGGGTCTATCACAGTCAGACTGCCTGAATCCTGTCCCCTTATTTTGAAGCTACTTGAGAATGAAAAGGTAAGTTTGTTATGTTTCAGAATCAAGTCTTCTAGCCTCATGCCCTGTGCAGACACTCAAGGGGGGGAGATGCAGCAGAACACCTGAACAATAGGCTATTTAGTAATGCATTAAGGAGATCCTAACTGGAAATTAATATGCAGCTTGAATGACTTCATCGCCAAAAACAAAGAGGGGAGAAGATCCGGAATGATTGAAAAGATCCAAGTAGCTTTTTCTTCTGTACTGCTTTCCCCTGCGTCCCTGCTGAGGACCCCGGGATTTATGGTTGGTATCTTACCTTAAGGAACGTCTTGTCTAATTCTTTCATTTTACAGAAAGGGACATGGAGAACTAGACATGTGAAGAGATCAGAGATTTAGAGCTGGAAGGGACCTTAAAGGCTACTAAGTTCAATCACTCATTTGACATACAAGGAAACTGAGGCATAGAGAGGTTAAATGAACTGCTTGGGATCCTGCTTTTGGGTGGAATTTGAACTCAGGTTTTCCAGATTGCCAATCCAGTGCCCTATCAAGTATACCATATTGTGCCGCAAGCTGCTTCACAGAGCTGGGATTTGAACTCAGGTCCTTCTTTGAAATTTATATGTCTTTTCTCATAGGAGATGACAATCTTTTTCCTTGACAAAATTAATCCCTCTAACTATCCTTTGATTTCATCCCTTTCCTCTCCTTGAGGCAGTTAAGTGAAGCAGTTGATAGAGCACTGGGCCTGGAGTTGAGAAGATCTGAGTTCAAATCCAACCTCAGACACTCACTAGCTGTGTGACCCCAGGCAAATCATTTCACTTCTGTTTCCCTCAATTTTCTCAACTATAAGATGGGAATAATAATAGCACCTACCTTGCAGGGTTATTGCGTGTATCATGTGAGATAATATTAGTAAAAGGTGCTTAGCATAGTGCCTGGACCATAGTGGGTGCTGTAGAAATATCTATTCCCTTTCCTTCTGCCCTATTTGACTTTGCTCCATTAATCATCCCTCTATTGTATGTGTCTTCAATTTCTCCTTCTTTGTTGGAACCTTCCTTTCAGGATATCAAATCAAAGAATCATTGGAAGATTTGGTTGAAAGAGAATTCAGTCATCTCGTCCAATCTGTTCATAAACTCAAGTTCTTCTAGTCCATTCTGGTATGATCATTCATCTTCCATTTGTAGTTCTCCAATTGCACACTGTCTCCTGAGGAAGCTTATTATACCTCTAGTTATTTGTAAATTTTTCAGTTGTTTGCTTGTTTATTTTTGTTTAATTAGCCAACAATAAGCTGAAATTTCCTTTCTTTTTTCTTTTCTTTCTTTTTTTTGAAACTTCATCTTGTTCTTTCTAGCTCCATCCTTTGTGGTCAAAAAGAATTAGTGTGATCTCTCTTCCACATAATGACCTCCAAATGTCTGAAGAAAGTTACTTTGTGATTGTAAGTCCTATATTGTCTAATTCCTCAAAGCAATCTTAATGGGACATATTTCCCCATCACCTCACCAACCTGATTGCTCTTCTTTGTACATATCCTGGTTTGTCTATCCTTATCAAAAAACGTGACTTCTAAAATTCAGTCACATACTTCAGTTACAGTCTGGCCAGGATAGAGCAAAGAGAGACCATCACTTATCCTAGATACTTTACCTCTCTCAGTGCAGTAGGAGATTATATTAGCTCTTTTCACCACCAGATCACACTGTTGACTTGACAATTATGTGTATTAAATTTATTTTTCATTTTCTTTGTTTTCATACATTGTGGTTGCAAGGTTGATGTGCTATGTTACTGATGAAAATACGTGTGCAAGGAGAGTCATCAAAGAGAAAATCTGGGAATGATGGAGAATTAGAAATAATGGACCTCAAAGTGCTCATGTCTGATAGACCCTGCAGTGTAAACTACCTAGAAAATGACTCCCTGTTTGATAAGAACTTCTGAGAAAACCATCAGGCTGTTTTCTGGCAGAAAGTAGGCTTAGACCAACATTTTACACTGTATCCCACAATAACTTAAAAATGAACTTGGGATCTGAATATTAAATATAATATTATAAAAGAAATTGAACAAGATAAGGAATATTATGGATATGGAGGACAGACAGTGTAAAGGAACAGAAATGGGAGATGAACTGTTTAGTTTGAAAGACTTCAAGTCAACTGATGTAGCTTGCTTGTTGAAGTGTCTGGAGGTGATTTAGGTCTAAGAAGCCTAGCTTCATGGTATGAAGAGTTTTAGAAATGTTGTGGGCTTCCAGATCATGTAACCAAAAATGTGATTATGGTCATACTTCAGTTTTTCTCTATCTTCTTTAACCTTGGTGGAATCACTTGACCAACAAGACGAAGGACCAAACACTTTCTCTGATCCTTATGACATCTCAAACCTCTCCAATAGAAAAACTATGAACAAGAGGAAAATGATTTGCAGCTGTTTTCATAGGCTAAAAGACCAAGAACCTTAATGGGTTAAGAGCCTGATGAGTTAACGTAAAAGAATATGGAAACATCAATTCATGGCAAATGGTAAAAATGATTGTGGGGACTAATCAGGTAGTATTAGACTTCACAGTCAGGGACACAGGAAAATTTCTACTATGGGTCACTCTTCTATCTTCTCTATCTTCTCCTAGAATTGATACCTCTAAGAATTAGGCATAACAGACCGAAAGGTGGGAGGAACAACAATGACATGGAAATTATTTAGAAGAGAAAACTCTTTTAGAAGCTTTAATTCCATGTGGAATATGAAATCTAAATCATGGAAAATAGGTCTAAGAACCATTAATTAAATAATAAAAATCTATTAAATAAATTAAATAATCTATTAAATAAATTATTAAATAA